ATGTTTCCCCTTTTGCATTTGAGCATCCAAGAAGGGACAGGAAAGGAGAAAGGGAAAGAGGAAAGACAAAGAAAAAGAAGGAAAGATGGGAAGAGAGCAAGGAAGGAAAAAGGGGAAGGGAGAAAAATGAAGGAAGGAAAAAGAAGAAAAGGAAAGAAGGGTAGAAGGAAGGAAGGAGATTATAATGAGGGGGGGGGGGAGGGTCTGAGGGAAGTCCTACCTTAGGACTTGGCCACCACAGGTGCCCCCGATACAAATGACATCGATCTGGCCACACCCACCCTGCCCCCCCAAACACAGCCCTGATGCGTCCCTCAATGAAATTCAGTTTGACACCCCTGCTCTAAGCCATAAAAAAGCAAATTGCATTTGGGATTAAAAAAAATTTTTTTTATTGATTTTTAAAACAAACATAAACAAACAAAACATAAAAACATCAAATCATCTTCCATATATGTACATACAGTGTGCCGGTTGGTTTACAAATTGTTTTGTGCTTCCATTTCATAGTCTTCAATTATAATTACATTGTATATAATCTCGTATTTTCAATCAATATATTAAATACATTAATATCATTATTAATCAATCATTTGACTACACTTTTATTCATTCATGTTTTCCAAAATGATCATATTTTACTTAATTTGTTTTATGACAATTGATATTATCATCCCAGATCTATCCTAGAATCATTTTGTAGATATAATAAGAAAAGAATACATCTTTATATATTTATTATTTTCTAAAAGTCTACATATTTCATTACTATATTTTATTGTCTAGATCCCAAATTTTATAAAATTGTTTATCATCTTGTTCTCTAATTTCAAATGTCAATCTACTCATTTCAGCACATTCCAATATTTTCTTAATGATTTCCTCCTGTGATGGTATTTTCTCATTTTTCCAGTTTTTAGCAAATACAATCCTAGCCGCTGTTAATACATTTACAATCAGGTATTTCAATTCCTTACCATATATTTCAGGTAAAATTCCCAATAGAAATATTTCTGGTTTCAAATCTATATGCTTTTTTGTCATTTTTTCCAACCACGTGTGGATTTTAGTCCAGTATTTTTTAGCATCCGCACAAGTCCACCACATATGGTAATATGAACCAGGTATCTGATGACATTTCCAACATTTTTCGGATTTATTCTTGAACATTCTTGCTATTCTTGTCGGGGGAAAGTGCCACCTGTAAAACATTCCAAGCCTCTAGTTGGCAGTGTTACAAAGTTTCTTTAGCTTTCACTTTCCCCCTCCTTTTCCAAGCAAAATATAATAAGAATTAATTAAAAAGAAAAAAGAAAAAGATATTTAAAAAATAACTAAAAGGGAGTCTCTGGCTTAAAATATTATAAAATCAAAAAGGAGAGAAGAATATATAAAAAGAAGAAAAAAAAACCAGTCCAGTTTCAAAATATAAGATCATGTGTAGAAAATCCAACTATGAGGAAAAAAAAAATTACTTTGACATTCCTGTTTAAAATCGCCGCTTAATCTGTCAAAACTTTTACAGATTCTTTCTTTCCCTTAGGGTGTCCTTTCAAGTCTTAAAATAAAGAAAAAGTTCTCACCAAACCGGCACACTTTCTCTTTCCGTTCTCTTTCGTTTTGAAGCTGTCCCAACTTCAGCAGCTTTAATGGCTGCCTCTTTGCTGCTGGCAAAAAGAGCTTCTCCTGGATCTACCAGGGACCTTGCGATATCCCTGGGATCGACAGGATGCGCTCTTTACATTCACCGTCTCTTCGGGACGGTTTAGATTCACTTGGACCGTCCAGGAGCAAAGATATCAGCTGCGATCTCAGATCTCCAAGATCGCATGCCGTATCGTCGCAACGCCAGCTCCGCCCTCCCGCAAAATGCATTTGGGATTAATGTTTGGTGTGGCTACAGCCATTCTTTTATTCCCTTGTGAAATTTTTATTTTTCATTCAATTGTGTCCTAGTTTTCTTGGCAAAGTTTTTCAGAAGTGGTTTGCCATTGCCTCCTTCCTAGGGCTGAGAGAAAGTGACTGGTCCAAGGTCACCCAGCTGGTTTCATGCCCAAGGCAGGACTAGAATTGACAGTCTCCCAGTTTCTAGCCTGATGTCTTAACCACTGCACATTGTATCTGGTGGTAGAACTCCATAAATAATTTGAAGAATTTCTTCTGCCTGCTGTATAGCTCCCTCAAACTAGAATCCTGGATAAAAATAGAGCTTAGCAACTCAGCTATGCCGAATTTAAGGGATAAATTGCAGTCTTGCAGAATAGTTCTACAGGGCCCAGAAAACATTACTAAACACGAATTCTTCCTCTCTCTTGCAATTTTGGAATTATGATGTGTCCCTGTCCTTTCAGTTCAAGTTTGCATCTACTTCCTCTTGATCAACTTTTCCTACTCAGCACATGTTTTAATTATCTCTGACAGGTTTGGAAGATTTGGTCTACCTGGATTAAAAGCAAACATATTTCTTTTTGATCTTCCCAGCATTTATATTGTAGCTGAGTAATGCAAACTTCAGTCTGAACTAGAACAACCTAGAACTGAGGAGAAATTTCCTGACTGTGGAACCAGTTGCCTCCAGAAGTTGTGGGTGCTCTGTCACTGGAGGCTTTTAAGAAGAGATTGTCTGAAATGATATAGGGCCATGATGGCAAACCTATGGCACACGTGCCACAGGTGGCACGCAGAGCCATTTGTGCGGGCACACAAGCCCCAAATAGTGGAAGTGACAAAACGGGCCCATTTTTCTGCCTCCAAAGGCTGCAGAGGCTTGCCTCAAACTTCTGGGAGGCCAAAAAAGGCCTCAAACAGGCCAAAAATCAGCTAGGAGGCTCATTCATGTACAGTGCAGGTAAGGGGGCGTGGGGAGGATTGGCACACATGCGCAGGGGGCATGGCCCCCCCGCGTCCATTGCCTTTTGGGTACTGGCATGTGAGCGCGCGCATACAAGTGTGCGCATAATTTTCGGCACAGGAGCCCAAAAAGGTTAGCCACCACTGATACAGCGTCTCCTGCTTGAGCAGGGGGTGGACTAGAAGACCTCCAGGTGTCTTCCAACTCTGTTGTTCTGTTAACGCAGTGGGATGTGAAGCTTATCTCTTAGTATTCAAGCACAATTATGGCTGATGCTTCTGTTTTTTCTCGATGGTTTTCTGGAAAATGGGAAGTTACCTAGAAGAAGTGCTCCCTTGCTGTTTAAAAGCTTAGCCAAGGAGCAAGTGCTAAGCACGAAGGAGGAACCACCTCCACATTGTTCAAATGAAGCTATGAGGCACACTAGGAAATAAAGATGGAAGGAACACCTGCACAGCATTCAGAGTTCCCACTTTTGCTTGGCCAGAAACCACCCAAAAGAGGAAACCATACTTAAAATAGGTGACAGGCATGGTGGGAGGTTGTGCGTTGGAGCTGCAGAGAGATTCCTGCTTCGTGGCAATATTGTACCATCCTCTCAGTTATCGGTCGTCCTCAGTTAGCGACCATAATTGGGACTGGAAACTCCATGGCTAGTCATAAAACAAAATACTCACATGATCATGTGGATTTACAACGGCAATTCTGGCAGTTCCAGTTGCAGTCTTTAAGTGCATGGTGCACAGTCGTTAAGTGCCAGGTAATGACCGTGACTTGTGATTTCCTGAAGGCTTCCCTACTGACTTTACTTGTCAGAAGCTGACAGTGAAGGTCACAAATGGCAATCACACGACTGTGGAATGCTGCATCTATCGTAAATGTGTTTTAGCCACCAAGTGCCCAAATGGCAATTACCTGTGACTATGGAGACACTGAGACGGTCACAACTTTGAGGGCCAACTTTGTTTGGCACTGCCTTCACTTCATGTGGTCATAGAATGAGTGGTAACTAAGTGAGGACTACATGTATCAGGCCAATATATTTTTAAAGACGGTGTCAACTTCGAATGGGATCAGGCCTGTCGCAGCCATCTTTCTGTTTCTCAGGTTGCCAACCAGTTTGGGAGTGGGGAGAGGCTGGAATGCAGACCAGACAAAACAATCTACTATCCCATGGGAACCAAGGTCATCCCAACAGGTGCTGGCCAGAGATGGGAAGAGACTGTCAAGGAGACACCTAATTGGACAATGTGACCTGTGACAATGAGGGAAGGAGTTATCCAGTGGTGGGATTCAATTTTTTTTTACTACTGGTTCTGTGGGCGTGGCTTGGTGGGCATGGCAGGGGAAGAATACTGTAAAATCTCCAGTCAGAGGTGGGATTTGCCGGTTTTCCAAACTACTCAAAATCTCTGCTACCGAAATGCTATCAGTTCTACTCCAGAACTGATCAGAACCTGCTGAATACCACCTCTGGAGTTGTCCATTATTTAATTATACTGAAAGCATGGGAAATAATCAGAGCTGGTTTTGTTTTCAATCATGATGAGATGATGTACTCAATAAAACAGTTCTTTGAGAAAGTAAAAAGTCTCAGAGTGGCTGAATTGTTTGGTTTCATTCTTGACAGACAGGTTTAATGCTCTTTTAGAAGAAAGCTAAAATCGTGTTTAACAGTAGCCTCTCTTACAGCTGACTGGTAGGAGGAAATTCCCAGGTGCAATGAATCACACTGCATCATACAGTTCTCCCCTCCCCCATCATACAGTTAGTCTCCCTGTGGATTGGGCCTGACATTGGGCTGCCCCAAATTTGGGTGCCTCTTGGCCCCCACCCCCAATGTGTCCTGGCTGCATCCTGTCCCTGTCCCTTTCATCTCTCAAGGTTCCATCCTTGTTTTTTCCTGGCTTCCATTCTGAAGCTGCTCACTTCCAAAGGACCAATTCATATTTTAAGGAACTTGTTTGCAAAGATGGGATCGAACCCCAAAATGTAAGCTGAGCCCCTTGACAATGGCAGATTCCTTTCTATGCTGACTTTTCAGGAGGTTGAGTAACTGGGCCTTCCCCCCTGGCACTTCCGTTTCTTTCCTCCCACCCTTCACGGATTCTTGAAAGAGGGAACTTTTGCTGGTTCCCCTTTTATTTTCCTTCACAAGCAATGCCAACAGTGCAAGAGAGCAAAGCTGAGAAGACCTCTTGAAGACTTTAAGGTATGGTGTGAGAAGTGTTTTTTTGGGGGGCAGTTTAAATAAGTCCCATATATCTTGTGGACTAGTGTCTTTAAAAGCCTTCCTCAGGTAGCAGCTGGAATAAACTGCTGGGGACAAAATGGGAGTGCAGTTACTGTACAAAAGAAGAGAATGGGAAAGCAAAACAATAGAACTGGTTGATTGCAGTTTTAAAAGCTACACCGGAATAGATTCCACTCCACTCTCAACCTTTCAAGCTTAATGGGTGACTTAGGGTCGCTCACTATCTCTCAGATAACAGATATAACAGATAATCAGAGTTGGAAGGGACCTTGTAGGTCATCTAGTCCAACCCCCGCCCAAGCAGGAGACCCTACTGTATCAGCCTGCTATAATTGATAGGATTGTTATGAAATTAAAACTACCACTATCAACTTGAGGTCTTAGAAGAAAAGTAGGATATACAGTTGATTGAATATGTGTATAAATCACCTCTCAACCACCCAGTCTGCATTGTGGATGTTAGTGCTTGACTCTATTTTCCCATAAAGGAGCTTCAACTTTATTTCCACAACAGTTTTGTAAGGTAAGTTATGGTGAGAGAAGTAGCCAATGAGTTTCCATGGTTGAGGATAGGTTTGAAGTTGGGTCTCTCTGGTCTGAGTTCAGATATTAAGCACCACTCCAGGCAGCTTATTTAATTAATTCCTCCCCACCCACCCCCATATCCTTCAACAAACTTGTGAGGTAATATGTGTTACAGAAGTAGTAACTGACCCTAGAGTCAACTGTGTTATTTGTGGCTTAGTGGGAACTTGGATCTTTCTCTCTTAGTCTAACCCCTTGATCTGTTTCTGAAGGCAGAAATGTTTCTGTCAACAAAATAGAATAGAATTCTTTATTGGCCAAGTGTGATTGGACACACAAGGAATTTGTCTTGGTGCAAATGCTCTCAGTGTACATAAAAGAAAAGATACATTCGTCAAGAGTCAAGAATCATAAGGTACAACATTTAATGATAGTCATAAGGTACAATAAGCAATCAAACCATACTGGGAAACAGTCAATAAACATCGTTAGGATACAAGCAACAAGGTTACAGTCATACAGTCATAAGCGGGAAGAGATAGGTGAAAGGAAGGATGGGAGGATTAATAGTAATAGTAATGCAGACTTAATTTGCAAATAATTTGACAGTGTTGAGGGAATTATTTGTTTAGCAGAATGATGGCATTTGGGAAAAAACTGTCCTTGTGCCCAATTGTTCTGTGTGTAATGCCCTATAGCGTCGTTTTGAGGGAAGGAGTTGAAACAGTTTATGTCCAGGATCTGAGGGGTCTGTAAATATTTTCACAGCCCTCTTTTTGACTCATGCAGTATACAGGTCCTCAATGGAAGGCAGGTTGGTAGTAATTGTTTTTTCTAAAATGTTAATTTGTAAGTTGTTCATTAGTAAAAGTGATGCTAGATGGTTCACAGTGAAGGAGAGGCCAATGTATGTCTTTTGGACATGACTGTGCACGTGAACAGAGATGGCTTTGTTGGTAATAAAATTGTTAACGAAACATGAATGCCCAGGAATGAAGAAAAGTGTGTGAAACACACTCCAGATTGCCCTGCCTTGTAATCTTTAGTATAAGATGGAGAGGGGACTTTCAAGATTCTGCTATTATGATCTAGATTAATAAAGTTTTAGTAAGTGAGCCAGTTGGTATAGTTCTGGCTTAGATGCAAAGCCAGCTGGCTCACTTTGGGCCAGTCCCTCTGTTTCAGCCCCAGGAAGGAGGCAATAGCAAACTACTTCCAAAAACTGCAAGAACATGCCCAGATAATTGCCAGGAATCAAAACTGATTTGAAGGTGTAAATTTCATTTAGAAGTTATAATATTTGTTTCCTGACATTAATAGCAAAATGGAGTTTCTGTATTCAACAGGGTTCCTTGGCTACCAAATCAAAACCACAATGCAGAAGGATCTAGCCTTTTTGCCATGTTATTGTTGAGGTGGGTAAGAAATTTAGGAAAAGGATTTAGATAAAAATTCATTTTTCATTTTTTTTTAAACCAAAGCATGAACTGACATTCAGATATTGTTCGAATTGGGTACAGTACTTTTTTAAAATATTGTGACACTTTTTAAAAAAAAAATGAGTGAAAATTCATATAGTATCATTCAAAAAAGCATTATATTGGGAAATTATTTTGTATGGGGACAGGGGGAGGGAAATCTGTAAACATCAGTGCAAAACTAACATGCATACATTTTGAGATGCTGGGCAAAAAAACTGGGGTGCTAACTTTTGTAAAAGGCTGTCGGGTTTAGCAGAATTGCATAAATGAGAAAAAAGAGAGGAAATTACAACAGTAGATTTGTAAAACATGGGAATTAGGGTGGATTAGAATGGATAGATTCAGCCATTTGCTACATACATCCCTCCAATTTGCCTTTTATGTACTGTAGGATGTGGGGCCTGCTCGCCACTCTGCTGTTTTCCTCCCTTGGCTCTCATGTGGATGCTGCATGTCCCAGGACCTATTTTAAATACTTCAATGACACACCATGCCTGAATTACAGTGGTGGGTTTCCTTTCCCCAAAGTCAATTTCAGTGTGTGGCAACAAGTGAAAGAGCTGGATCTGTCCAATAACAACATCACAACCTTATCAGAATTGGAGTCTGGAAAAAACCTGGAATCATTGTTCCTTCACAATAATAAACTGAAGAGCCTTCCTTCCGACTTCTTTGACAAAACACCCAAACTGAAGGTCCTGAGTTTGGAGAAGAACCAGCTTAGCTCTCTATCCATTGAAAACTTCCATCACTGCTTGGAGGAGCTCCGCGTGGACTGTCACTGCAACGTGGCTGGTGGCCTTTTGAATTATTGCTACAACTGCTCAGATCGCGGCATCAAATGCCAGTGCTTCACTTCTGAAAGACTGGATAATGTAACTGATTACTATGAGAACAAGTGCCATGTCATAACTGGGTATTCTATCTATGTTAGCATCACCATAGCAATTTTGATTCTGCTTCTGTTGGCCATCCTGGTTGTCTTTGTAATCTGGTGGAAGAAAAGGGCCCCAATCAACCAAGAAAAACGACCTTCCAACACATCTGAAGGCACTTCTGGGCAGTCAAGGTACATCAGCCGCTTACATTCGCCAGGGAACACATTTCAGGACATGGGCTTCCACAAAGACTATGAGAACGTCTTCAATGACCAACCCAAGGGCAAAGTGGGCAAAATGAAAAGCGGGCAGGGCAACCACCAGAGCCGGAAGGAGACTACCACCAAAAGGTGAGCAATTGGGAGGCATCATTTCTTGGGAAAGCACATTACGTCAGCGTCAAACTAAAAAAACAACAACACCTCATTGCTTTGCTTGGTGCTTGCAAAGGGATGCCGTCCAAATAGGATGGAGGTGCGGGGATCATCATGGACCATTTGGGCCCAGGTTTTCAGAGCTTTAAAAAGTGAAGTGGATGCCTTAAGCAGCTTCAATGTATTTAACTGTTCTTCTCTATTCTGGCTTGGCCAGACTGTATCTAGAATATTGTGTCCAATTTTAGTCCTAAAGTTTAGAAAGGATGCTAACAAACAAGAGTGTGACCAAAGGATAACAACGAAGCTGATAAGAGGGTGGGAAAGAAAATACATGAAAAATGGTTGGAAGAGTTAAATATGTTTATCCTGGAGAAAACAAGACTGTAGGGAGGCCCAATAGCTGCCTACCAGGATCTGCAGGGCATTAAGGAGGAAGTTGGAGCAGAATAGTTGATGAGAATAGGCATGTCCAATTCTCTTGGGTGGCATAGAACATCTCCATCTCTCTCTCTCTCTCTCTCTCTCCATCCACCCCCCCACACACACATTATATATAAATAGAGCCTCGATGGCAGTGGTTAGAGTGCAGTACTGCAAACTCCTTCTGCTGCCTGCCGGCTGCCTGCAATTTGGCAGTTCGAATCTCACCAGGCTCGAGGTTGATTCATCCTTCCCTCCTTCCGAGATGGGTAAAATGAGGACCCAGATTGTTGGGGGCAATAGGCTGTAAACCGCTTAGGGAGGGCTGGAAAGCACTATAAAGCGGTATATACGTCTTATTGCTATTGCTATTATATATAATATAGCATAGGTGGTCCTCGACTTACAACCACAACTGAGCCCGAAATTTATGTCGCTAAGTGAGTAATTTATTAAGTGAATTTTGCTCCATTTTACGACTTTTCTTGCCCCATTTGTTAAGTCACTGCAGCTGTTAAATTAGCAACACCGTTGTTCAGTGAATCTGGCTTTTCGATTGATTTTGCTTGTCAGAAGGTTACAAAAGGTTATCACAGGACCCCCAGGACACTGCAAGCATCATAAATATGAACCAGCTATCAAACACCCGAATGTAAATACACATGACCATGGGGATGCTGCAATGGTCATAAGTGGGGGGAAATGGTCATAAGTCACTTTTTCAAGTGCTATTGTAACTTCAAACAGTCACTAAATGAACTATTGTAAATTGAGAACTACCTGTATAATGTATATATATAAAAGCGAAATACCACTCACACATCATCACAAAATCTCCAGAACCGTAAAGCCTACAAACTTGAAATTTGGCACTTATGTTCCTCTTGGCTTCTAGGTGCTCATTAAGAAAGGATTTTTCAAAATGACCATCAGAGCACTAGTATTTCGTATATTATATTAATACGAGTGGTGTGATTCAATTTTTTTTACTACCGGTTCTGTGGGTGTGGCTTGATGGGTGTGGCGTGGCTTGGTGGGCATGGCAGGGGAAGGATACTGTAAAATCCCCATTCCCTCCCCACCGCACTAACCTGCTTTCCAGCTCCATTCTCCTGTGCAGGGCAACAAAAGAAGACCCAGCTGATCAGCTGGGACTCGGGAGGCAGAGGATAGATATGGGCAGGGCCAGTCAAAGGTGGTATTTGCTGGTTCTCCAAATTACTCAAAATTTCTGCTACTGGTTCTCCAGAATTGGTCAGAACCTGCTGAATACCACCTCTGCCATGGAGGCCAAAAACGGGCCACAGGGGAGCCGCAGGCCCCCACTCTGCAGTCCATTTTGGCCACCAGAGGCACCGCAGGACAGTCCTTTGATATTTCCAGGCTGGCCCCGCTGGCCTGATTTAAGCACCCCACGGGCCTTGAGTTTGACACCCTGAATTAGATGGTCTCCAAGATCTCACCCAATCCTAACTGTGATTCTAGGATTTTTTTGCCCATAAAAGCTCTCCAAGATCCCCAATGCTCCTTCCGCCAAAAGAAAGAAGCTGCCAAATTCTTCAAACAATTCTGGGACTGTCTGTGGGTCACAGAAGAGGTACTTTTCAGTATTCCTTCTGCACCTATTGGGCTCTAAAAAACAATAGGTGCTCTTTTAGAAGGGTGAAAAATATGTGTTTCATCTCACAAAGCAATATGTACCCAATTTAAACACTAAAATTACATATTTAGGAGCAAAATAAGTTTATTAAACTTACAAGACTTTAAACCAGTGGTTGTTGTTTTTTAGCCTTGGCCATGTTAAGAATTCCCCAGATAGCTTAAAGCTGCCAAAATTGAAAAGGGCTGCATTAAACCAATCTGTCTTCCCCAAACAAATGCAACATAGAGACCCAAAATATCCCTAAAGTCAAAGCACACAACTTTGTTTTCACAACTCTTTCAAGTTGTACAGAAGAAATAAAAGGGGACTTCCATACCTGCCCCTTGGTCCAGTCAGCTGCCCCCAGAATGTTTAAAAATGTAAAATAAAAAGAAAAGAGTCTGTTAAAAGCAGCTCAGTTCCCTGTCTGTCAGAGAACTGGCACTGAACTTCTCTTTTGCTCCTTAGTTACTTTCCGAGTGATCCAGAATGACGCCCTTTTGGTCATTTAATCTGCAGCTATCTACGATTCTGGGTCATATACAACTGTTGCTTGACTTGTGTGTTGTGACTTCAGCATAAACGACGGCCTAATTCTGCTTTGAAATCTGAAAACACCATGAGGAATAAAAGGACAGGCGGTGGTTTTGTTTTATTTTAAATTGCTTTTCATCAAGGCTCAGATCATAGCAATTGAAGTACTGTTTTAACCTGAACTTCCCCCTTTCTGAATTCCCGTTTACATAAGGGAAGTTTGAATTTTCATTTCAGAAATAGATTGTGCATACTTATAGTTTGCTCCATTTTTTTCAGTTAATTTGCAATTCCTTCTTTCCTAATATTCCCTATGGGTGCCTAGATAAAACACTACAAAAAGGCGGTGGTAATTTGAGGATGCATATAACTGCATCATCATTTTGCGTGTGTGTGTGTTTTGCATCTTATTGATGCACAAATAATGGTAAAACATCTCATTAAAGTATCTTAGTACAATCTTGATGTGAGATGACAAGCTTGCCTTTTCATACCACAAAAAGAGAAGACGAGATGCAAATAGAGATGGTCCTCATCAGTGAATGATGCAGTCATTAAATGAATCTGACTTCCACCTTTGACTTTGCTTATCAGAAGCTGGATGGGAAGGTTATCACATGACACAGGGATAGTGCAAATGTCATAAATACATGCTAGTGGCCAGGGGTGGGATTCTACCAGTTCGCACCTATTCGCTAGAACCGGTTGTTAACATTCTAAGCAGTTCGGAGAACCGGTTGATAGAATAAATTACTGGCCTAATCCTGTAAGGAAGGCAGGAAGGAAACATTCTGGTGTTGCTTACAGAAACTGCCTCTCTGTTAACCCTTATTACATTCTTGGCAGGACTAGACTTCCTGTCTCAGGAACTGCTCTGGCATTTTTTCCCCCTCCTTTGCTGGTACTTTGCTTGTGTGGACTGACCATTCAAAGTTACAATGGCACTAAAAAAGTGACTTATGACCCTTTTTCACACTTACTACTGTTGCAGCATCCCCACAGTCATGAGAGGCCAGGCGAGGAGATGTGTGCCTCGATGTGAGTGATATTGAGTTGGCCACGCCCAGCCAATAACATGAACACCAAGCCACGCCCACCAACTTAGACCCACAGAACCGGTTGTTAAAAAATTTGAATCCCACCCTTGTTAGTGGCCAAGTGCCTGAATCGACGATCATGGAGGTCCTGCAATTGGTTATACCCATGATGACGAACCTATGGCATGCGTGCCAGAAGTGGCATGCAGAGCCATTTCCCCCGGCACATGAGAGCTTACCCGGAAGAGCCCCACTGTGCATGTGCGTGTGCTGCTGCCCGACAGCTGATTGTCAGGTATCTGGTGCGCATGCGTGGTGGTGTGTGGGCAGGAGACACGTGCCCATGTGCAGAGGTGCGCAGTATGTGCTGGGGGTCGCATGCGCAGAGAAGCAGGGCGCGTGGAGGGATCGCACACGCACAGATGGATGGCGCGCGGGGGTCTCCTCTATTTAACTGTCTGCTTTCTGTTTTTGGTTTAGTTAAAAAAAATCTTTGTAAACAAATTCACCATGTTGCATTGACTAACTAGCCTTGTCAAGATGGACCGCAAAATTTGTTTAAAGATTGAAATTCTCGCAATGGGAAGAATTGAGAACTTTGAATACGGTAAATTAGAGAGTTATTTCTCGGGCTTCCGGAAATGCCTATGTGACCACAGGAAATCACTCTTTTTCAAAAAGTACAAGATTGCAATAAATTTGCTGGGTTTCTTAGTTCTTGGCAATTCCCATTTCCACCCCCCAACAATCTGCTATAGCAAAGTAGCCATATTCTCCCATTTTTCATGATCTGTAGTTTTGTTTTGTTTTAAACTCCCTCAGTCAGTGGTCATTCAACTCTACATTTCAAAGCAAGGTCTTGAGGAAATTTACAAACTTGCATAACGTAAATCAGTATTTCTCAATCTCAGCAGTTTAAAGATAGGTGGACTTCATCTCCCAGAATTCCCCAGCATACTGGCTGGGGAATTCTGTGAGTTGAAGTCCACATGTCTTAATGTTGTTGAGGTTTAGAATCACTGGTCTAGATTACCCAGTTCATACAGGTAATGGGAATAAGGAATTTGTGGCCTTTTTAATGTTTTGGATGTGAATCCTCATCTGCTCCAGTTAGTTTGTCCTGTGGGGAGGGGATTGCGGCAGTGGTGGGATTCAATATTTTTTACTACCGGTTCCGTGGGTGTGGCTTGGTGGGCGTGACATGGCTGGGTGGGAGTGGCTTGGTAGGCATGGCAGGGGAAGGATACTGTAAAATCCCCATTCCCTCCCCACCCGACTAACCTGCTTTCCAGCTCCATTCTCCTGTGCAGGGCAACAAAAGGAGACCCAGCTGATCAGCTGGGA